TTAAATACTACCAAGTATTCCTGTGCAGTGGTTTCTTTGAGAAATCATTTAAGTAAGTCCAAGTTGCTGGGTTTTTTTTTTTTTTTGAGGGGTGGGGTAGGGGCCAGACACTTGAGGACAAAGGCAATTTTCATATCACACAAAGCAAGGTATGGGACCTCGGGGATCCACTGTGGCTTCAGGAGAGGTAGAGTTTGGGGAGAGCCACGTTGAACTCACATGGCGGAAAGGTGACGAGCACAGGGACACTTGTACCAGGATGCAAAGTAAAGGTGGTATTTTTCTCTAAGGTCCGGAGAAAAATGCGGTGTTCTACGATCTGACTCTTAACAAGATAATCATTTACTCTCAAAGCTGAGTGCCAAGGAGTGATGTCAAGAGAAGCATGTGAAAATCCCTCTAAAACCGGGGCACAGAGGTTTTCAGCTCATGACGACCAAACATTTTCTTCTGCCCCAAATATTACCTGGACTCGCAAAGAGCAGGTGAGGCGGGAGTCTGCAAGCGTGCCATGCCCTACATTTGGCACCTCTACAAATTCAGTGGGATTTGAGCAGAGTCTCTGACATTCTTACCAGTTTGGAGAGACTTTTCTTTAAATGAAAAGAGGAAAGCAGCTGTGGTGTTAAGACAGACACCCATAAAAACACAAGGGTTGCTGCCCTGACACAGCACACGCAACAGGGTTCAGGTTTTAACTGCAGCGAAAACGATGCTTGCAAAGGCGTCTCTGATCTGAAAGGCTGTTCTCTTCTGCTCAGACATATAGAAAGCAGGTCCCATTGTGATACCCTTAATATTAAGGTCTCCACTGATACCCATCATTTAAAATCAGACCTGATCAACATAAGCCTAAGACCATCCATTGGTATACAAATGTTGGCCAGGAGACCCCAATCTAGGAGTACAAAGAGCTGTCCTTGAAACTGTTCCACACTGAAGTCCTTGTACATTGTGTGTGTGTGTGTGTGTGTGTGTGTGTGTCAAGGGTGGGTGGGGGGGCCCCGGCAAGGTCTGTGCCTGTAGCTGAAACAGAAATCAAGTAGCCTGGCTTTTCAATAATGTGGACATCTGGACATCTCACTTGCTCCGTTACAAACTGTCAGTCCAGTAAGTAAAGCCCACGATAATAGAAATACAGCAGTTTGGCATTCTTGATTTAGCATTTATTTAGCCAAATTCTGTTTACCAGTTAATTCTCTCCTTTTGTTTTAGAAGGTGGAGGAAGGGCATAGAAAAAGAAATGAGATGTCACACATTAAATGCATTTTGCTTGTGTCCCACATGGCACCGCCCTCTCATAAAATGCATAAGGTAATAGAATATTTACATTTTCTTGACTCCACTTTCAATGCTTCTTACTTAAAGTCTGTCAAAACACAATAGATCATTAGACTCTACAAAGTGTGCTTGCAAAGAGTTTTTTTTAAAACCCCTCTACAGTTAAAACATTTTAGAAATCATAAAGGAAAAGAGAATGGGGTGCGAAAGGGGGATCAATTGTTAATCTTAAAACCAAGTGTCCAAAAGTGAAGTCAACTCTTCATGTGATTTTTTAAGCTAGACCCAACATAGAACAATGTTCAATGGTAAACTTATTTTCACGATGCAAAAATCCATCCTACTTTTTCATACCCTGCATTTATTTTGTTACATTTATTTTGTTGTTAGTTTTCTATTTTGATTTATTGAATAGTATTAAAACTATTTAAAGTCTGAAAACCTAACTAAATCTACATCTTATCACATTATCCTGGTTCTGCCCAGTTATATACATGCTTTCATGATCACCTCTCTATTACCTTATGAACTACATTTACTAGTTAAATAATCAACAACACAAATGGATGAAGAATTCAAGTTTTAAAATAAAGATTAGATAGCTTTAGAAAAGCTTATATTTACATCCTTCCCTGTCAAGCTTTATTTATTTATTTCCCCCTTTCACTGTTGACACTTCAAGAAGCAGGTTGACAAGTCTCCCCCAACTTCCTCGAGCAGCAGAACCCCAGTCCCTTTGGGGGATCTTCCTCAGCATTGGAAAATGAGCACATACATCATGCCATGTGGTTTCTTTAAATGCCATCCCCCCACCCACTATAACACTCGGAAGGACACTATTTCTTCCCTAGTGTTTCAGAAAGATCAAACATTCCCCTAATTGAATAAGAAAGAATTTCTTATTTTTATCTAGTAAATTTTGAAATAAATTTTGAATTTGGCATCACTCCTCCTGCTATTTTCAAGGGTGTTACTGGAGCCAACAAAGCTCGTTCTAATTTGTGCCATTAATCGTATCTGCAAGAGCCGGAAGTGCTCAGCAATGGAAGCATGCCTTTGTGAGGCAGGATGCTTTGTGAGAATCCTTTCCAACTGCCTGAAAGCTTGTTCCTTTAACTATACAGTTAACTACACAGCGTGGCCATGCCTGAAAATCGCATTCCCCAAGATAGGTATAATCTCCAAGATGTGTTGATTTCAAAAGCATCGCCAGTACAATTGTAATATTCATTTTCTTCAAATTTGCAGACTTGATTCTGCATATTTCCTTTGATAAAACTGGCATCAAAATTGGGTAATCTGAATCACTTTGAAGGCCTTCCTGGGTACTTTTTAAATGTCTGCCACTTGGCTTAGATTCTTTCTTGTCTTCTCAGTTTTTCTCTTCTTCCTCTCAAACTACTGGGGTTCAAACACACACGAACCACTCAGCATGAGGAAGGTGAGGCTATGTGCGTTCATAAAGATGTATAGTCTTGGAAATCGTACATAGGTTGATAGGAGACGTAATCAACTCGATGACAATGGATTTGGTTTTTTGTGTGTGTTTTTTATGTATTATGGAAATCACTCAAATAAAACTAGATTGAAGCACTTAGGGGCCATTTGGGCTCATGCAAATCTAATCTTGCATCCAGCTCAAGTTATTAGTGAGGCATGTAAGAAATGAGTGCTCGCAGGTGGAAGAAAATGATATTCGTTAAACATATTTCCAATGATTTATCTTCTCCCCCTCAAAGTATCTTATCCTACCTTCTATAGCATAAGAATATAGCAAATACGAGAAAATCATGTTCTAGTATCCAAAAAGATCTAGAAAAGAATTATCTAAAACGTGTTATGGTCTCAAAATTTTTCACAATTATTGATGTGAGTCATTTTTCCTGGACACTTCTCAAATAGGTGGAAGAGTTCTGAGCTGTAAAGTGGTGTGGTCTTTGAATCCTTCTGTGTCTTTAATCAGGGAAGTTTGTGGTTGATTGAACCTTCCCAGAAGGGATCTCACAAATCCTCCTTGCTCCGTTTCACTCTTTCAGTTTGCCTGACTTCTCGGAGCTTAGGAAGAGACCTCTCTCTCCAGCACCTCTAAGGTTCTTGAATTAAGAGACCACCAGCTGCTTTTGATTTTAATGGCAAAGTTCCTATAATCCACACAAGCTAATTAACCAGTGTTGAAATATCATTCGAGACTAGTGTGTGTTTGAATAAAAACATTGGACCTATTTTTCAAGTTCAGTAACTTGAATGCTTATTAATTCGTGTCCCAAATGAATTCACAGAGATCTCTTTCGATACAACTGATTTTATAAGAGCTACTCTCAAAATACCCCCTGCAATCTGATTCTAGGAACTCATAGAGGAATTCAAACAGCATTCCCAATAAATTGCCTAGATTGTATAATTTTTAAGTCAAGCATGATATTGTGCTTATCTGGGTGTTTCCCATGTTAAAGAGTCATTTGTGTAGGTCCTAAATAAATATTCATTGAAGAAACAAGGGAGTTGAATGCATGGTTAGATTTACTTTTTAGAAATAGGCAAAGACCTTGCTTTTCTTTGATTTTTTTCCCTTTAAATTTTCTGTTTTATCAATGGACATTTTTACAAATCCTAATGACTTGGGGTAGAACTACCTAGAAAAGAGAGTTTTATATCTGATTTTCCTAATTACTGAAGTGAGTTCCCTTTTGTCTGCAGATTCATCTATGACACTAGTAGCCATCCCTCAATGTTATTTCAAAGCAAACCAAGTTCATTGCCATTGAGTCTATTCTGAATCAAAGGTAGCCGATGGGGCAGGGAAGAACTGTGCCTGTGGGTTTCCAAGGCTGTAACTCTTTAGAGGAGCAGAAAAAGCCTCACCTTTCTCTTGCAGAGCTGCTGGTAGATTTGAACTGCTGACCTTGTATACATCACCAGGCTCTTAAGTTTGATCTCTCAGCAGGTATTATTTTACAATGATACATAATAAAAGATGGTCTAGACTAGGTTGCAGTATTTGGAAAAGAAAAATATGTATATACAAAGCATCAAAAGATTAGTATGTTGATATTAAATTAAATGCCCGAGACGTGTGTTTATTTACAACCTCAGAACCAATGATCTGTGAACCATGAATGTTTGTGTTTTTGACACCACTTATAGGAATTTATGTGCAAAGAGTTATTTTCTATTTAATATAAACAAATTCCTCACTCTAGAAATTCCATGGATTCAATCCATTTTTTTCTTGCATTCTGTCATATGGAGTACACAAACGACTTTCCTTGAGTAGCAAAGTGATGTCACATGTAGATAATGCGCTGGCTCTCTCCCCATAATCCCTGGATACTGTCCCAAAGTCCTATTTTCTTGGTTTAGCATTTCACAGTCTTTCTTAATCATAGCTCTTTTTGAAAAAATGTACTTAAATTAGTTAGTTTGCTGGTTGCTTTCATATTGCTTCATTCAAAATCCAAAAGGGAGTTCAGAAGGAGAAGAAATAAAATTATAGTTTAAGTGCAAACTACATTTCTGAGTATCTGCCTAGTAGACATACCCAATCCAGTGTGTTCCTTCGAGTTCAATGGCTTTCCCATTGGACCACCCCTGAAAGTGTCAGTAGTTTTCATGAACCACCCCAAACTGTCTCTTAGTTTCCTTTCTACTCTTAAGGTTATCAACTGCTTATCAAGCACGATCATTTCTGCATGACGGAAAATATGAAAGAATGAAAACAGTTGAGGGGGGTATCTGTTTAATATTGTAAGGCATGGAAGCTAAGTTTGATGTTGCAATTGACTAATATCTTGGCCTCCCCATTTAATGTCCAAAGCTGCATGTTGACAGCATTGGCTTTTTCGTCATGTTATGACATTTTTGTTTGAGTTCTGTTGATTCTATCAACACATGAGAAAGTTTGATGCAAAAATATTTCCAATTAGAAATTAAAGACTCAAGCAGAAATTGGATAGGCCAAAGCAAAAAAAGGATAAAGAAATTGCCAAACTTAATGTCTACTAAGTCTTCTGATGGCAATTCAAAATGGTGAAAGTGGACTTGGCTTTTCTTACTTGGGTAGAATTGTGCGAGAAAGAAATTAGATACTCAATCTCTGTTACTATCACCTAGGAGAGAAAAAGTATTCCTTTTGTGCTCGTGGGAGCTTATAATGATTTCCAGGGATCCTGAATACACACACATTCTTTCTAATGGGTAGCAAGAGAAACCCTGGGCTTAACAGAAAGAAAAGAGAAAAGGAAAAGTTGAGAAGTAGTTTGATAGCAGGTAGCTGGCTTACATGGACTGTCCCTTCGATAGTTGTTGCAGTCCCCTGACAAACCCATGCAGAGAAATGAAGAAACAGTGTGGTCCCGCCTGTCTTTCTCTTCTAGTCCTTCCTTCTACAGTTTGACTTAGATAGCACATAGCAATCATTGCAACTTTACATCTCCCCCTGGGAAGAGTCAAAACGACTGGCCTTGTTGTAGAAGGAAGACCATAGAGAAAGAGAGGGGCAAGGAGATTGGAGCGGGTGTGTCTATCAATCTCAAACTCGCTGCTCAGCTTACACCACAGTATTTCGGTGTCTGTAGGGAGGAGGCGGCAGCACAGGGCCTGGCTTCAGGGAGAGCTCCGAGAGGTATTCAGGATTCTCCGCCACAATAGGCCGGATCCGTCCATTCTGTTTATAAAAATATTTTGTGCTGTACTCCTGCAGGTAGTCTGGGTGCTGAAGGGTGCTCCGAGGTGGCAGGCTGTGGTTCCAGTAGTCAGGGTTGTCGAAAGCTTTCTTGGCCTTCTCCGGCACAGACAGTACGTTGTTCTTCAGATGTTCGCTGTTCCCCAAGGCATTGGCAAAGGCGTTGAGGTACAGTGGCTCATTCACATACTCATCTTCTGCCTTGGGTGGACCAGTGGAAGCGTTGTGGTAGTCGGGATTTTCCAGGGCTTGAAGATCACTGGTTTTTCTCCGAGAAACAAAAGGATTCTCCTCCACAGGGTTCAAATATTCTGAAGGAACACAAAAAGAACATTGAACAATTGCTCTTTGGAAAATGATTAATCAGACCATGATTATACAGACGAGTTAGTTTTGTTTTATCGCTCCACAACAGTCAAAGCCATACATTTGTTTCTAATATTTCTCATGAAAGCAAGTTTGTAGATGCTTCTAGTCATATAAAAATGGATTAAGTGGGTCTAAATGCTAGTGACAAAATAAGAAACCAAAAGGTCAGGGATCACTTCCTTTCTCCTGATAGATCATTTTTTTCTTAAAATTGTATACTGCTCTCAGACATATTGAATCAGTTATTTACATTTTCAGAAATTCAGTAATTCACATCATACGGGAAGATATGACTATCGGGCTTAAAAAACCCTTCAAATATGAAGAAATTAGAATTTTTATAAAAGATGATGGAAAATCAAAGTGTCGATAATCTAAATGTATACCAAGATAAATTGTTTTAAAATTCATATGCTTTACTGTGATTATCTACATAGGCCAAATGACTTGATAGGTGATGCTCCTGAGAAAACTTTCCTACATAGGACAGGAAGCACGAGGGCTGGGGTGGAGCGGGTAAGACTCAACTAATAGATACCTAAGGTGCCTTGAGTTTTCCTTTAAACAATAATAAATAATCAAACTATTCAATAAATGTGTGTCAATAAAACTGTTGAAAAATAAAATAAAAATAAACAAACCCAATCCTGTGGAATTGATTGCAGCTTACAGTTACCCCATAGCACAGAGTAGAACAACTCTATCGAGGTTTCAAGGCTAGAAATCTTTACAGGTGTAGACAGCCTCATCCAGCTTCATCATCGGTGGAATGACTATAGGGTTTGAAATTCCTTCCAGCCCAACACTCAATCCACTATCCTTTGCTGGACAATATATATGCTTCAAATTAAGTATATGTATTTATTTCTAAAAGGAGGAGCTTTGGTGGCATGATGGTTAAGTGCTTTACTACAATTGAAATATTGGTGACTGAAACACACCAATCGTTTCACACAATCAAAGATCTGGCTCTCTACTCTGATAAAAGATTACAGCCTAGAAAACATTAAGGGGAAGTTCTCCTGTGTTCTATAGTTCCTTGGGGTCTGGCTGGATAGCACAGCATGCAACAGGGTAAAACCAGCAAAGGAGAGAGGGAGAGAGAGAGACCCAAATCACTGTGGGCAAGTCCATTCCGATGGACTCTACGGGACAGAGTAAAACTGGTCCATATGGTTTCTGAGGCTCTAACTCTTTTCAGGCCCAGATTACCTGGGACTTATCCCAGAGGGGAAGCTCATGAGTTCAAACCACGGACCACGCAGTTAGAAACTTAATGTCTAACCCACCACATCACCATAGTTCTGAACACCAGCTCAATAGTGGCCATTTTGCAAAGTTCAATTTAATCAATACAGTGAGCAAAAGTATTGGTTGAGAATTTGTAAATATGCAGCTGCTGGTTAATGCTTTCATTTTTAAGGTTAATCCATCCATTTTTTACAGTATGTAGAATAATCCCCACCCCCTTCTTTTACCATACAATCAAAAAGGAGACTCAATGTTTTCCTATTTTGAAGACGAAGAATGGAAGGACCATTCTGAAGCCGTTCAAGCATATGTTTTCCCGAATAAAAGTATCCTGGTCAGCAAGCATTTAGTATCAAGTCTAAGTTAAAGACTATCATAAACACTCCATCAACGTAAATATGAATCACAGCTACACAATTCTTAAGATACCCTCATTTCCTTCTCATGAGAACCCTGCGCAAAGGGAAATGCAGCCCTGGTGGTGGACACACGGTCAGCAGTGCAAATCCACCCGCAGCTCTGCAGGGGAAGGCGGAGGCTTTCGGCTCCTCTAAAGCGCAAAACACAATTTTGTTCAGATTTTTAAAAGATTTTTTTCAGCTTTAGTGTGAAAACAGACTGCATTCTGTTTGTTGGTACCATTGGTGTGGTACTAGAAGGTAGATCCGTTAACTCCTGTTCAGTAATGTTCTTGTTCTACTTTACTGCTTCTTCGTTGTCTCTAGAGAGCAAAGTGAATGGTATATCCAATAGCATTTAGTTGTTGTTTTTCTTCAGGATCTTAACTCTATTATTTTGAGAGAAACATTTTATATTTATGTCTTTATTTATGTATTATTTGGATCTTACTAGGAGACAGCATTTGGTATCTCTTCCCAATTTACTGAGAAAATATTGACCACTCGGTCTAAATTTTGTTGTTGTTGTTAAGATTGGTGAAGATTTCAGTATCCCTTAAAATAGAAAACAGAAATATTTAAAGTGTTTCTGAATGCTCTATTCACTAAAATGTTTAGGTACTCATTATGTCACAAGAGCTAGTCATTAAGTCCTATTTCACATGTAGGACAACTGGGCCACCCACATTTGGTAAACTAGAGATGTGACTGCAGGTGGTTCTCCTACATGTGCTCAAAACCAGTCATGGCTATTCAGAAATACTCAGAATTGTCATCGTCCAAAGGGTCATGTCCAGTATCAGAGAATGCCAGATACAGAGTAGTTAAGAAATCACTGAGTTAAAAGGACAGAAATGTTTAAGCTAAAACGCTAAGCTACTGGAGGACTATGCTAGAGTATAACAGCCTTCAACAGGAGCTCAGGGCTGAATGGTCACAGGCACAATCGGCAGGAGTCCTCCAAAGGGTCTGTTCAGACGAGCTTGCCCTTTCTCTTCGACGGGTTAGATTACCTTTTCCCAATGGAATGTGCTTTTCGATTGTCCGGATGCCAACTTGTGCACATATTTAGTTAGAAATGGAGAATTAAACTTAACTTTTAGTCCAGTGAATACCATTTCCAGAGAGGATTAGGTACTCAAGAGAATCTGCCAAATCTCAGAACTTACATTTGTGCCACAATTAAGCTGCTACACCTATTCCTCTTTTGTTATCTTTATATCCAAATCCTGCATTTATGACAACAGTCAAATTGGAAACTATTCCGTGCATTAATGATGCATATCTGGTAGTAGTGAACACCGAAGTGTGAGGCAAGAGAAACACTAACTATGACGGCTAGAATTATGTGTCAATCTGGCTTGAACGTGAGTCTCAGTTATGTAATGATGTGGTTTGGAAGTCCTGAAAGGATGTAGGCATCCTTCATTTTCTTAACTCGTGTTTTGCTTCTCCATTTATGAACAACACCACTCTTTGCACAACACGCTGGTCTTTGGCACCTAACCATATCAATAAGTGAAGAATGGTGTATAAACATCCAACTCGTCATTACTTTAAACTTTTACACATAGATCTGCTGAGCTCACAGTGACACACGGGGCAGAGTACAACTGTCTCATAGGGTTTCCTACGCCACAGTTGCTATTGATCAGAATATACCCAAGGGCAATGGGTCATTTGTTTCATTTTGTTTTTCAGTCACTGTGGGGGCAGATGACTAGGCCTTTTCTCCCATGGAACCAAAGATGGATTCCAACCATTGACCTTTCATTTAGGTGCCAAGGACTTAACCATTGTGGAACTAGGTTCTTGGCTTTCATAGAGCTGGAGAGAGATATTTTAAATAGTTATTTATGTGTGTAATAAAGTCCCTAAATTACATTTGATAAAAGAGAATGTGACCCTATGTAAAATGATATAAGGGGCCCTTATCCAGAGCCTTAAAATAGTTAACTGTTAGTACCACAAAACCTCTGAGAGACATGATCAACAATTTTTAATAACCTTGAAGATTTATCTTCCTTATTTATGATGCTGTTAATATAGAAGGAAACAGATTTTCTTTCAAAATTGAAGCATTAATTGGGTGTTTAGCATTTCTACTATGAATCATTGCTTTGCTTTGTAAAACCACAAACCATTAATATTTTTCGAGACTTGGCATTATACACAGAAATATAAACATCCAGAGGTTATAATTTTACATTTTCTAATGTGTCATAAAAGAAAGCATGCTCTTCTATAATAAACTAGGTTATCTAAATGGCACCATTGTAACAAACCACCTATACCTTTATTGGTACCATCAAAAAATGCTTTGTAAACAATGCCAGTATTTATGATCTCTACAATAAGCCCAACCAGGCAATGACCCTGAGCTTTTTTAGAATGCTACCTCATGCAAGTATTAAAATTATGACCTGTCTAGATCAGTGTTTCTCAACATCAGAATACACAAATCATCTGGGAGTCTTACTAACTTTGACAGATAGGGCTGAAGTTCTGGTTTCTAAAAGCCCCTCTGATAAGGCTGCTTCTTATGGGAAGAAATACTTTGAGTAGCAGATGCCTCAGGCTTTCTAGGTCATGGACATTGCATAGGTCCAGCTGTTTGACAGTTTTCTTTGCAGGTTGGCTAATTCTGACACATTTAATATTGAATAGCAATCAGTTCGGGAAAGTCGGATGGTACCTTGTTTGGGTTTGTCTCGCATGGGTGTCATGTAACCTTCCTCATCGAGGTCTCCTCGTGGGCTCCGTTCCGAGGCAAACATGGTAGGGTCAGCACTGTACCTCTGGGTGCTGCTGTCCTCCTGGGCATGGGGTAGCACTGGCTTACGCAGAGTGCCGTTACAGCAGGACTCGTCAAACATCTCAGCTGTTGCACCCGGAGTCACTGGAGCTTCTGGGATCGTGCTGCTTGTGGCTCTGTACGGCACGGGCATGCTTTGTTCTGGAGCGAAGCCCCCATCTCGGTATACAAATTGGTTCTGTAAATAACAGAAATACATGTGGAAAACACTGGTTGTTAAGAGCACATGTGAAAGGTAAATGTTAATACACAAAGGGATATTAGAGCTTGTGTTTCAAAGAAAACACATAATGTTGTATTGCTTTCTTTTAATGTTAAATGACAAGATATAGAAGAGAAACACTATCATTTTCTTTAAAACTTTGAAGCTTTCTCATATGTATTCCAGTAATGAAAATATGGCTACTGAGAAGCATTCCATGTACTTTCAAACAATTACTTATTTGTGACACACACTTCAAAGTGGATTTCCGTGACTTATGGTTGTATCATTAGTTGTAATATGGCAGATGTCAATCAGAACAGAAGTGAAGATAGAATAGTAACTTGATAGGTTGATTTTTCCTTATTGACTTCCATTCACTGGTGACTATGGTTTTGAATCTCTAATATCCAGTTAGAATCATCACTGAGATTCTTTCATCACAGGACCTGTCATTGTGGAAGCAAAGGCAACTTTTTATCCAGAAACCTCATTTAAGAGCTTGGGCCGATCTTTCAGATAAAAATGGAAAGTCTTTGCTGAGGTCTCATCTCTGGATTATCTACTGAGATGAGATCATCCTCTCATGTCAGTTTCACACTCTAAAGCATATTCATAACTCACTGTTGGCAAAGGCAAATGAGGAAATTATGGGGAAACAAGAGAGAAGAAACGTGGTAAGCAAAGGACAAAACTACTAAAAGATGAAGGTTGATTGTGAAATACTTACTCCTGACATAGGAGTGTAGGCAGGAGGAGGGCTGTGTCCACTTTCACTCTAATAGGAAAGAAACATGGAGTGATGGATATAATAAAAGGTCACGTGAATGAATCGAATGAGAAAAAGGAGAGGAAGAAAGGAAGAAAAGAAAAAGCCACATGAGTTGTGTGAACCAAAGAGGAACACATGCACAACAGTGACGTTTGCTAAACAGTAAAATTCGATGCTTTCTGACAATGAGAGATTTTATTTATATGCTTCAGGAAAACTACATAGCTGCATTCAATCCCTACAATGGAAAATAGCATAGAAAAAGTAAAATTTTTAATAAGTAATAATTTTTTTAAACTGGCAATAAACATTCAGATTACCTCTTGGGAAAAGAAAGGAAAAAAAATAATCAACAATTAACTATAGATGCAAATAAGGAAAACTTCCCTTGTTTATATTTCAAATGACTAAAGTGATCATACACACCCCAGGATTAACATTTCTCTTATAAAAAGAAACTTATCTAGAAGGAGGTAGAAATGGATTTCAATTTATCTGGAATAATTATTGCTGTCAAGCTACATTAATTTTTTACCATTTCAGCAAAGGGTCAGGTTTTTAGTTGCTATTTTTTCTCTTCAGTCTTAGTGTTTAAAATTCTAAATTAAGAAATAGCAGAAAATCTAGGAAAAATCTATCTTTTTCTTGGAAACACACTTTACATTGCTTGTCTGTACTTAGAGTCAGACAAAATCAGGTTTTCATTGAAAAAATGGGTTCAATGTTATTACACTGTGATACTAATTTATGAAATAAGTAGCAGTAGAAATGAAACAATGAGAAAATATTAGGGATGATGCTCTTTACAATAAGGAGAGGCTTATGTGAATATTTAACCTATTATCCAATTAAAATATGAATACAGATTCACCAAGTACATTTTTTGAGCAAGTACTACCTGCCTATCATTTTTAAGAGCTGCTGAAAGTGAAAAAGAGTTGATTCCATGTTGCTTGCCTTTGCAACATTTTGGCTTTAATGACCCAAATCCAAACCTCCTGCCATCCAGTGAGTTCTGACCCGTAGGCACCCGGTAGGATAGAGTAGAACTGCTCTATTGCATTTCTGAGACTGTAAATATTTACAGAAAAAATAAGTCATTTTATTTTTCTGCTATAGAGTGACTCGACTGGGTTTGAACCACTGACCTCCAAGTGGGAGCTCGAGTGTTGTAACCCCACAACACCTTCAAGGCTCCGTTGACATGAACAGAGATGGCTCACATAACCTCAAAGGTACCTACATTTTACATGAGGCAGCTAAATATTCCAAGTCAATGCTTATACAATTTAGAATTTCATAAACCAATTTAAGAAGGGTATGGTCCCATGGAAATGAACTATTTAATGTAAATCAATAACAACTCAGTAACACACTTTTCCTTAACTAAATTAGTCTGCTAGACTAATCAAAGTAAGAGTACTGGAAGACTACAATGAATTTACATTTCAGTTTCCCCGGTTATAACGCAGTTAATCAGACTGAAGCACAGACAACATGTACCTCCTTTTCTGGTAGCAGTACGTTGAATAGCATGACTTAGAGAGCTAGAGATATATTTAATAATGCAATTCACATGAAGAGGTGTTGTACAAGAGACAGACTTCTTTATGATTTGCGCTCCAATCCCAATTAATGTGGTATGAATTAGGCCAACTTTGAAATTTCCCAGACCCTCATTTTCATCATTCTTTCACGCAGTTTAATCCATAGTAAAGAGAAAGCAGGATAACGTATATGAATGGACCTTGAAAGTCCTCCCCTACTGCATAACAATAGGGATATATAAACATTGGAATATTCCAGTCTGCTAGATTGGATTTTTTAATTGACTCCATGGCAACTGGTAAATTATATTTCAGTGCCAAATCATCAGTGGGAATGTCATCCGGGAAGCATTGCTGAAGGCCGGACAGTTCATGAATGGACTTAAATATGGGTCTGCTCTGTTATCTTTAAATAAGACATTCAATCATTTTGTTTTATAAAATTTGAGAAAGAAATGTTGTCCATAGTCCAGTGATTTGAACAAGAAATATGATAATCGCTGTGTGAAAGTGTAGCAAATGAAAAGCCCTGGCTTTCTCCTGATCATTTATTCCTGACTGCTTACCAAGTACTGACCAAACATTTATCAAAGCTGTCTCAGAGACTGACTTAGCTGATGGAAACACTACGATGGACCAAGGGAGGCATGGCCCCGGCCCTCTGGGATTTACGCTGTACTGTGAGAAATTGACTGAACTTATTAGAAGGAAGGACGAGAGAGAGAAAGCTGGACTGACTTGATTTCAACTCTATAAGGACATCCAGGGTCTGGGCTGTGAAGCTCAAGGCAGGCTGGTGGCTTCAGTGTCCCCACAGGTCTCTTTGAAGAAAAGCCTCCTAGTTTCCTTCTAAAAAGCCAGGCATCGAAAGGCCTGGCCAGCACAGTCCTACTCTGAGTTTTCACAAAGCAGAAATTACTTGACAGCAATTGGTAGATGTGATGGTGTATCAGAAAGGAAAATAGTCTAAAATATGAGTAGTTAGCTGGATTCCTCTAGCCTCTTGCCCTTCAGTAGTTGCCGGACTGGAGGGTACTGGAACCTCAGCCCTGGCAAGAACATGGATTGCTGTACACTTTGTATTTTTATAAAATTTGAGAGAACTGATCAACATTATAACTCACTAGCCAGCCTCCTTCCCGAAATGCTTATTATCTACATGGATGACCTTGGCTGTGAATCCTTCAGTGGGAAGGGCACCGTATTAAAATCACTGAACCTATTGCAGTTGGGCCACAAGACAGCTGACAAGGCCATGCCATACGAGAAGGCACTCCCTGTCCCTGTTTTGACAAGTCTTTCAGTCAGTCTGAAACTGGCCAGCTCTATATCGGGACAGACTGCCAAATGGCATCACACGACCGGGTGAGTCATCATGCTATTCGCTTTCAGCATTAAAATGGAATCAATGCTAGGCAAAGGCCATTAGCATTCATTGTCTTTAGGGT